CCATGGTGTTTGCTAAGGCACTGAAAACTCAACTAGGACAACGTGAGTGTTGGGGAATCTAAACTCCGGTCCTCATGCTTGCATGGCAAAGTCTTTCTACTCTAAGCCATCTCTCTAGATCTAAGAATGAAGTTCTCTGGAAACCAGTTCCAACTCAGCTAAGGAGGAATACCTACCTCTGAAAAGGGACCAAACGCAAAAGTCTGTCCAATCCCAATTAAATGACTCTGGTTATCCATTCCCTGGGGATCCCTCCCCAAGCGGCCCCTTTCATAGTTTTACAAACAATGCTCACCTGTGTTCCCTCTGCTTGTGCATCTCAGTGGGTACTCACTCTCTGTTAAACCACACCCCGCATCGATAACAGATTGGACAGTCTCGGGTAGTGGGTTTTGGGAAGAGAATGGGAGGCACATTTCTGACCCCTCTACCATCTGCTCCTTGATCTTCCAGACAGCTTGGAAGATGCTACATTGCTATCAAATGTCCCTGATCCAAAGATGCTTGGTGGTAGTACATGACTGTTATCCCAACCCTCAGGAGGCAGAGAAAGCCTGGTTTAATACAGTGCATCCTAGGCCATCCAAGTCTGTGTCGCAAGACCTGTATAAATAAACAAACAAACAAACAAATAAATAAATAAATGCAGGCAGATAGCTCAGGCAGTTAAAATTTCCATATAACAATGAGGACTATAATTCCATCTCTAGCACCCATGTTTCAAAAAGCTGGGTATGCTGGGTTATAATATAATCCTAGCACTGAGGGGGTGGAGACAGGTGGATCCTAGTCAGTCCAGCCTCCTTGGCCAGTTCTAGACCAGTAAGAGACCCTGTCTCAAAAAGCAAGATGGAAAGTGCTTGAGAAATGACAGCTGAGGTTGTCCTCTGGTTTCCACAGACGGGGACACATGGGCACAGGCCCACATACAAAGTGCCTTGAAGAGGTGGGGTTGGGGCTTCTTCTTGTAACCCTACCCTGTTTTCAAATTGTACCTGAACTTGGGGGCCCCCAGCTACCCAGGGATGCCAAGCCTCCTGTGCAGTTACTTCATTAAGACTTGCCCCAGGGGGCTGGTCCCTGCTACTGTCCTTAGATCCTGTCCAGGGCCCTGATTAAAGAGATAGTGCAATGTTTTTTTTAAAATAAATGTGTTGTAACCAGAGGCCCCAGTAACCACAATATCCTGACTGGCTGCAACTCTCAGGCTGAGAGCCAAGAGAAGTACTCTGGCATCCTGCGTTCTCAGAGCGTAACAGTCAGGACAGGGTCTGAGTGGACCTGGGGGAGGCAGTCCTTCTGCGCCCTCACCAGCTCCCCCAAGAACCATTCAAGTAACTGCTCTATTACTCAGGGCCAGTACTTTCCATCCCCAGTGACCTTGCATAATACCCATCTGACACGTCTTGCCCTTGCCTAGAAGATAAAGTCAAACCAGCAGGCCCAGATCACCAAGGCTACTGGGAGTCTGCACATGTCTTCCCCATGTGCCTCGTTCACCCAGCACTCTGGCCACACCAAGACACTGAGACCCCTGAAAATGCCTCCCAGTGAGTGGCTGAGAAATACTATTTTCCACATGGGTAAGAAGAGGCCACACCCAAACTGCAGAGCCTAGTGCAGCCATCGCACCCTGGGGCAGCAGCCCAACCTTCATGCTCCCAGACAGTCTTCAGTCATTCCTTCTGCTTCCATGGTATTTTTCCATGCCCTGCTCCATCATCTGTCCACCTGGACCAGATGTAATGATACTTCCTCCAAGTGTTTTACTTAGCTGGCATGGTAGAGATGGAAGTAGAGTTGAAGGTGTGCATGTGAAAGACAGACAGACAGAGACGGAGACCATTATTTTGCATTTTACATGAAAATTTCCCAGCATCTGTTGAAAACTTAGAAGACTTGGGAGTCAAATGTGACGGTGTATGCCTGTCATCCCAGCAGTCAGGAGGTAGAGGCAGGAGGATCTTGAAGTTCAAGGTCCTCTTTGGCTACATAGTGATTTTGAAGACAGCTTAGGACACATGTCTCAAAAAAAAAAGCAAAAACCTAGGCCAGTGAGATGGCTCTCTGGGTAATGGAACTTGTCACCAAGCTTGATGACCTGAGTTCAATCCCCAGAATCCACATGACAGAAGGAGTGAACTGGTCCACTCCCTTAAGTTGTTCCATGACCTACGCACACACACACACACACACACACACACTTATAATAGTAATTACAAATATAATATTATATTTGGCCAGGCGTTGGTGGCACATGGCCTTTAATCCCAGCACTCGGGAGGCAGAGGCAGGCGGATCCCTGTGAGTTCGAGACCAGCCTGGTCTACAGAGCAAGTTCCAGGAGAACCTCCAAAACAATACAGAGAAACCCTGTCTCAACCCCCAAAATATTATATTTATCTTAATAATGACAACTCTTTATTATAATAATATTTATGATGATGATGATGATAAATATAATATTTTGGGGGGGATATTGGAGACAGGGTTTCTCTGTCTTAACAGCTCTGGCTGTGTTAGAACCAAGATGACTTTTAACTCACATAAATCCACCTGTCTCTGCCTCCCAAGTGCTGGGATCAAAGGCGTGTGCCACCACCCAGCATGCTCTTTTAATAGGAAAACAAGAAAGAGGCTTGAGAGATGCCCGGCAGTTAAGAGCACTGGCTGCTCTTGTAGAGGACCCGGGTTCAGTTCTCGGCACCCACATGCAGCTCACAGCCATTCTCACCTCCAGTTCCAGGGGATCTGGTGCTCTCTTCTGACCTCCATAGGTACCAAGCAAGCAAGCAGCAAAACATCCATACACATAAAACAAATATATTGAAAAAAGCAACGGGAGGTAGGTCCGTTACTAGGGTGTTCTGCACCGTGAGGTACATGTGGAGGTCAGAGGGCAACTTATGCTAGGGGGTCAGCCCTCTCCTTCCACTTTGTGTGTCCTGGGGGTTGAATTGAGCTGTGAAGGTGGTGACAAACTCCTTCTACCCACTGAGCCTTCTCACCTACACGTTGGATGCTTTAATAAACATCCCTGTGGTGGTTTGCATGAGAATGGCCCCCATAAGCTCACATATTAGACTATTTGGTTCTCAATTGGTGGACTGTTTAAGAAGGAGTAGGAGGTGTGGCCTTGTTGGAGGAGGTGTGTGTCACTGGGGGTGGGCTTTGACATTTCAAAAGCCCTCTTAGGCCCAGTGTCACCCTCCCTACCACACAGCCACACACACACCCGTCCCGCCCTGCCCCCATCTGCCTGCATGAGGATGTAGCCCTCTCAGCTACTGCTCCAGTGCCTTTGCATGCTCCCTGCCATGACGACAACAACGGACTAAGCCTCTGAAACTGTAAGCAGGCCCTCAATTACATGCTTTCTTTTTTTTTTTTTTTTTTTTTTTTTGGTTTTTCGAAACAGGGTTTCTCTGTAGCTTTGGAGGCTGTCCTGGAACTTACTTTGTAGACCAGGCTGGCCTCAAACTCACAGAGATCCGCCTGCCTCTGCCTCCCGAGTGCTGGGTTAAAGGCGTGCGCCACCAACGCCTGGCTTATGCTTTCTTTTATAAGAGTTACTTTGGTCATAGTGTCTTCACAGCAATAAAACAGTGACTAAGACTCAGGGTTTCATTATGTAGTACAGGTTTGCCTGGAACTCACAGTGACTCCCCTGCTTCAGCCTCCCTGGTGTTCGGACTACAGGCAGGAGCCACCACGTCCAGCTTGCTATTGTTTTATACTATGTGGAGGGGTTTTGTGTTATGTTGAGTCTCTTTTGCCAATACACCTTTCAAAGAGTTTGCAGCCCTGACACTAATTTTCCAACCAGCACCTAGGACTCTTCGGGGCTGATTTCCAAAGCTGTTATTGTCTTCCCATGTGCTGCTCCCAGAAACCTCAGCCAGTGGCTCAGAGGAAACAGATAAGAGTTCTTGTCCCAGATTCTGGCCCTATCGTCCCTATTCCTGCTGTATCCTTCCGACTTGTCTGCTGGCAAGGTTGCTGTGTCTGTCTCGAGGGGAGAAGAACATGTCACAGATCTTGTGAGCTGGGAAAAGCTATTGACCCAGCCTCGTGGAAGCCTTACAATCAAAGTGGGTGTCATTTATTTACAGGGTATGACAAAAGTCGGGTTTGGGAGAGCATCCTACCTGGGATCTGGGCTTTATAACTAACATTGTCACTCTTCGAGGTATATTTTTATTCCACTTATTTATTTGTTTATTTATTGAGTGTGTGTGTGTGTGTGTGTGAGTGAGAGAGAGAGAGAGAGAGAGAGAGAGAGAGAGAGAGAGAGAGAGAGAGAGAGAGGTGTATGTGCATGACCCATCTACAGAGGCCAGAGGACAAATTTCGGTTCTCTCTTTGCATGATGTGGGTCCTGGGAACTGACAGGTCATCAACTTAGTAGCAAGTAATTTTTACTCACTGAGCCATCTTCTCAGGGCACTTTTTAATTTTAATTAATTTTCTTTGGAGGCAAGGTCTCACTCTGGAGCCCAAACTGACCAACTTGTGGTTATCATCTTGTCTCAGCCACCCAAGTGCTGGATCTACCAATGCAAGCCACCCTGACTGATCTTTTCAGCTTAAAAAATATTAGATGTATTTATTTATGGGGGCAGTGTGTGTGCCATAGCATACCTGTCCATCTCTCCTTCCATGTGTGGGTCCTAGGGATGGAGCCCAGGCCAGGTTCGGAGGCAACTGCCTTTACCCACTGAGCCTTCTAGCTGGATTTACAGGCAGTTGTGAGACACAGGGTTTGGGTTGATGTTGAGGAACTGTTTTGCACAAACAACCTGGCTATAGCTCAGTGACAGGGTATCCTTTAGCCCAGCCTGACCTTGAACCCCCACCCCGTATGCCCCCAGACTGTCCTCGAACTTGTGATCCCCCTGCTGCCTTCTCCCCAGAACTGGGATTACAGGTATGCACTACCACGCTTGGTTTAATTGTTTTTGTTCTTTTTCCTCTCATCTCTTCCTCATCAGGGATCTGTTACTCCTCGGGATACCTCGAGCCCCCGGCCGCAGGTGCTTCTGGTGTTGAGCGCCTCTGGCACCTGCCCTGGCCCGGCCCCAGCCCCGGCCCCGGCCCCGGCCCCACGCAGGCCTGCTCTTCCGGCATTTAAGGCGCATAGCCCGCGCGGCTGCAGCTGCGGCTGGTTGAGACTCACAACCGGCGGGACGCACGAAGCAGGATGGGCTGCAGGCACAGCCGAACCAGCCGCAGCAAGCGCGCGGAAAAGGTACTGGGCGCCGGGACACGGAGGTCTGCCTTGGGGGGCGCTCTGAGGGACGGCAGAGGACACCGAATGGACAACAGTCAGGGGCTGGCACAGAGACCGGGGTGCAAGGACGGGTTGATCTGTCCCCGCCCGTGCCGAGCCAACCCGGCAGCCGGCAGTCGAATTGACACACTCAGCCCCAGGCAAACTGAAGCCGATCTCTGCTGTCCCGGCGAGGAGATGACTTGGTGTGTCTGTGACAAATGATCTTAGATGTGGGGCTGTCACTGTGTGGTTGAGGACGGGACTCTTGACTCTCAGAGTGTTGAGCTAAGGTCTTGCAGCGCCAGCATCGCTTGAGACCTGTTGGGAACCTGAACTCCCAGGTCTGCACAAAGGTTGCTAGACACAGTCTGCCCCATAACGGAGTTTCGCCTTGGATCATTGCGCCCCTTAGAGCCTGGGAAGCGGATCAGGGCCTCTTGCAAATTCAGAGCAGTGCGTGGGCTGCCCTTAGGGTAGCTGGGAGGGGCCAAAAAGGGAGGCGATCTGTTGTCTCCTGCAGCTCTCTCCTCCCTTCCTGTCCCTCCCCCAGGGACCTGAAGCTGGGTTAGGGCCCAAGAGACTGACTCAGGTTTCTGCCCCCTTGAGGTTTGAGAAGCCCCAGGGGGTTGGAGCCCAGATCTAGAACTGTGTCTACAGAGAGGACTGCAGGAGGCCCAGAGAAGGGAACAGGGACCCTGGAGTCCTGGGCTATTTCCTATTGCTCTCCACCAGCCCTTCCATCCCAGCCAGATGGGGATGGACAGCACCTGATGAACCCTCATCGTGAAAATGGCTAATTTTGCAATGAATAGCGGTTCTTGTATCTGACATCTGCTTATGTCTGCCTTTAGCGTTGTCAGTATCTCTTTCTCTCTGGACCCTCCCTTGCGCTTCCAATGACTTTTCATTCTTTCTTTCATTTCTCACTCCCCCATGCCCACAGCTCCCCTTTTTGAGATAGGGTCATATATAGGCCAGGCTGTCCTCAAATTGGTTGCGTAGCCAAGACTGGCCTTGAACTACTAATCTACCTGCCTCTCCCTTCCAAGTACTGGGATTACAGGCATGCCCCATCATGCCAGGCTGCATGTTTTTTGTTTAGTTTTTGAGAAAAGGTCCCAATATGTAGCCCAGGTTAGCCCCAAGCTTTCAATTTTCCTTAGCTGCCCCAATGTTGAGATCATAGGCATAGGTTACCATTCCTGGCTTCCAGTGGCTACAAAGCCTTCACTTTGGTTGCATCACACAGCCTGGCATGTCTTCCCTGGGCCTAAGTGTGCTTGCTGGGTTTTGTCATCACATGCCTGTTAGTAGGACAGTGGGCTGCTTCTTGGCTAAGTTTACACCAGTTCCTACTTCTCCTTCTTGATGCTTTTGTATAATTTCTAATGCAGGTATCAAGTGCTGAGCACCTAATCCATCCCAGCAGGATGGCAATACCCCTGGGGGATGGGACACCGGTATGGAGGCTCAGGGTACAGGGTCAGACCACAGTAATGACTCACTCTGAGAATTTCACTTCCTGCTCAGCCTCACCAAGTCACTGAGAAACAGGTTGAGTTGTGGAATGAAGCTTCCCCCACGTGACATGTGTGGACACTGAGGCTCAGAGAGGAGTGATGGGAGTCAGATGCTAGGGTGAGGGGGCTGGAGGGGGCTCAGTGGTTAAGAGCACTGACTCCTTCTCCAGAAGATCCAGGTTCAATTCCGGGCACCCACATGACAGTTCATAACCAAAACTATTTCAGTACCATGGGCTCTGACACTCTCTTCAGGCCTCTGTGGGCAACCAGCACACATGTGACACACAACCGCCTGCAGGCAAAACACCCATACACACAATTTAAAAAAATGTTTTTCCTAATTAAAAAAATACAGATGACTTACTGGATGTGGTAGCAACTTTAATCCCAGCACTCAGGAGCTAGAGGCAGGTGGGTCTTTGTGAGTTTGAGGCCAGTCTGCTCTACACAGAAAGTTCCAGGACAGCCAGAACTACATAGAGAGACCCTGTCTCATGTATATGACTGACTTTCTTCACAACCCACTTAGCCTGTCACCCACAGCCACTCCTCCGCCCTCCACTGCCTTGTACGGAGCACGGGGCAGGTGCTGAAGAGAGCACCGAGGGCCAACTGGGAGTCAGGCCAAGGCTTAGCCTGGCATGCAGCAGGAGAGCCTCCCGGACTGAGAGGAAGGCTTCTTCGGTGGGGAAGTTTGGCAGAAGTTCCCCCAATCAAAGCCAAGAGCTTGAGGGAAGTCAGACCTGCAGGAGTCCCAGGATGTTGGGCTTCTGCAGAGTAGGGTGGCTGGCAGCAGTGCCAGTCTTTATGAGAACTCACCAAGCTTGGGACAGGCTCCCAATGGTTAGGACCTCCCTAGTACCCCCAGCACATAGATCTGAGAATCTGATGAGCTCTGTGCTCGTGGCTCGGCTGACCAGGCACTCTAGACTTACCAAGAGGCCACGCCTGGGACTAAGTCACCCCTGTCTCCAGACATGCTGATATTCTGGGAATAGGGGCTGGAGATGGAGCTCAGTGGATGCATCCACAGCACCACATAAACTGGGCATGATGGTAGATGCCTGTAATCCCAGAACTTGGAAGGTAAGGTAGGAAGGTCAGAATCTCAGGGTCATCCTCAGCCTGGTCTACAAGCAAGGTTCGGACCAGCTAGAGCTATACAGTGTGACCTTTTTTTGGTTCGGACCAGCTAGAGCTATACAGTGTGACCTTTTTTTAAAAAAAAGCAACAGGAAAACACTTCATCCCCCCTACATAGGTTCCCTTCTTCCATGTCCTATGTAGATAATTTTTTCATGCATTTGTGTGAGTGTGTGTGTGTGTGTGTGTGTGTGTGTGTGTGTGTGTGTGAACACACAGGCCACTTCATGTGTGGAGGTCAGACAGCAACTCTCAGGAGTAGCTTTTCTCCTTCCTAGGGATCAGATTCAGGTTGTTAGTACTGTCAGAAGGTAGCTTTACCCACTGAGTCATATCAAACACATAATAAAACATGTCTGAATGTAATAAGTACATAGAATGTTAAAGAACTTGGCAAACAGCCAGGCGTTGGTGGCACACGCCTTTAATCCCAGCACTCGGGAGGCAGAGGCAGGCGGATCTCTGTGAGTTCGAGGCCAGCCTGGTCTACAGAGCGAGTTCCAGGACAGCCTCCAAAGCCACAGAGAAACCCTGTCTCGAAAAAAAAAAAAAAAGAACTTGGCAAACATTTGTATGTCCACTCTACTGGGTTGGGATCACCGGTGGCCTTGCCTTAAGTCACAGATCTACTGAGTGACCTTGCCAGTGACCTGGATTCCTTGGTTCAGGCTAAGAAAGGCACAACATTGGCTCCTATGTCTAGGTTTGTTCTACAAAGTTGATGAGAGGTTGAGTGTACTAAAGACTCCAAGGGCCTGACTGGCAGGTAGTAAGACATAGAATTAAAGTTGTGATCTAAGGATGCCATTGCCTGTGGCTCACCAAAAGAAGCAACGGAGTTTGTGGGGACAACAGACATTCATGCTTGCTGAGGAGGGCAGGTCTGGCCTTGGAACCTTTGTTCTCAAGGAGTAAAAGCATCTGTCCTCTACTGAGCTAGGACGCAGGATCTTGGCCCCTGGGACAAGCTAAAAGCAGCCAGATTTCCATTTCTTGTGCAGAAGTGGTTTAAAAAAAAAAGAGTGCTTGCTCATGTACTAAAACTGGAACGACACAGAGAAGATTAGCATGGCTCCTGTACAAGGATGACACGCAAATTCATGAATCGTTCCTTATTTTAAAAGAGAGAGAGAAAGTAGTGAGTTCCTCATTACTGGAGGGGTTCAAGCAGAGGCCAGATGTAGAGTTGATACAAGCCCCAGATGGCAAGCATTTACAAGTCCACCATGGAAACTTAATTATTCTTATCATTGCAGTTTAAGACTGTTTTAAAATTTAGAAAGGTAGGAAGAAATTGGGAGATTTAAATAGCCTCTACAAAATACAGTGGATGAAATTCTCAAAGAATTAGTAAGATATAAAAAAAAGAAGAAGAAATAGCCTGATTTCTTCACATATCTCATATAGATGAGGGTGACTGTCTTTATAAATCTAGCAAGATTTGTGTGTGTGTGTGTGTGTGTGTGTGTGTGTGTGTGTGTGTGTGTAAGGGGGGCCATGCCACACGTATGCCAGCACCCTGCACAAATCTGTCAGGAGCTGTAGTTACAGAAGGTTGTGAACTGCCAACATGGGTGCTAGGAACGGAACTCCAGTTTTCTGGAAGGCCAGCAAGTGCTCTTAACCACTTAGCCATCTCTCCAGCCCTAACTCTGGGAACCTCTTGTTTATGGCTATCTTCTGGTGCTCTCTCTACAAGGGGCATTTTCCCATGAGAATTAGCCTGCAGCTCCTTCTTCTAATGGCCACCTAAGGTCCTGGCTATTGTCCTTCTTGTTTAGCCGGTTTGTGTGCATGCATTGGTTCCTCACAGCCCTCCGCCTTTGCTGTGATGGACTTCCTGTGTTCTCCTAACCTGGGGCACAGTGACTTTGTCCCTAGATCAGCAAGAGTCACATAAACAGTGGTATCTTGGCTGGGACTTGAAGGTGGGTAGGGATAAGACTTTCACTGACTAACCATGATATGCAGGTGGGGGTCCCAGGCAGATTTGACCTTTTCCCCAGGGTTGCCAAAGGCATGCTAGTCAGGGAGCGTGAGAGAAGCTGCTGGCCTGATCATGCAGCAGCTGTCACTGTACCTTCTACCCTAGCCATTATTGACATCACAACTGCACGCACATGGCCTCTGTTCCAGCAATCAACAGCAGCCCAGGCCCTCACATGGCCCCTGAGGTAATGTTTTTAGCCAGAAAATAATGTTCTATAAATCAATCATCCTGGATGAATCCATTGCCAACTTCCATACACAGAGCACCCTCAAAGCCACATTTCTGTGTTAGACATCTAGCTAGACCTTTCAACCTAAAAT